CAGGGCGCCATATCAGGGCGCCATATCAGGGCGCCATATCAGGGCGCCATATCAGGGCGCCATATCAGGGCGCCATATCAGGGCGCCATATCAGGGCGCCATATCAGGGCGCCATATCAGGGCGCCATATCAGGGCGCCATATCAGGGCGCCATATCAGGGCGCCATATCAGGGCGCCATATCAGGGCGCCATATCAGGGCGCCATATCAGGGCGCCATATCAGGGCGCCATATCAGGGCGCCATATCAGGGCGCCATATCAGGGCGCCATATCAGGGCGCCATATCAGGGCGCCATATCAGGGCGCCATATCAGGGCGCCATATCAGGGCGCCATATCAGGGCGCCATATCAGGGCGCCATATCAGGGCGCCATATCAGGGCGCCATATCAGGGCGCCATATCAGGGCGCCATATCAGGGCGCCATATCAGGGCGCCATATCAGGGCGCCATATCAGGGCGCCATATCAGGGCGCCATATCAGGGCGCCATATCAGGGCGCCATATCAGGGCGCCATATCAGGGCGCCATATCAGGGCGCCATATCAGGGCGCCATATCAGGGCGCCATATCAGGGCGCCATATCAGGGCGCCATACCAGGGCGCCATATCAGGGCGCCATATCAGGGCGCCATATCAGGGCGCCATATCAGGGCGCCATATCAGGGCGCCATATCAGGGCGCCATATCAGGGCGCCATATCAGGGCGCCATATCAGGGCGCCATATCAGGGCGCCATATCAGGGCGCCATATCAGGGCGCCATATCAGGGCGCCATATCAGGGCGCCATATCAGGGCGCCATATCAGGGCGCCATATCAGGGCGCCATATCAGGGCGCCATATCAGGGCGCCATATCAGGGCGCCATATCAGGGCGCCATATCAGGGCGCCATATCAGGGCGCCATATCAGGGCGCCATATCAGGGCGCCATATCAGGGCGCCATATCAGGGCGCCATATCAGGGCGCCATATCAGGGCGCCATATCAGGGCGCCATATCAGGGCGCCATATCAGGGCGCCATATCAGGGCGCCATATCAGGGCGCCATATCAGGGCGCCATATCAGGGCGCCATATCAGGGCGCCATATCAGGGCGCCATATCAGGGCGCCATATCAGGGCGCCATATCAGGGCGCCATACCAGGGCGCCATATCAGGGCGCCATATCAGGGCGCCATATCAGGGCGCCATATCAGGGCGCCA